CCCCCTCCACCGCGCACGCACCGACCACCGACCTCACACCTGCTTACCCGCCGCCCTCTTTTGTCGCCACCGACCGCCGTTCCCTGCCGCCTGCCCATCTCATTACATGCGAGCAGTACCTGCGGGACCTGCGGTGCCCCGTGGGTGAAGGGGCGCGAGAGGAGGAGCTTCAGTGGCTGCTGGCGCACGCCGTAGCCCTAGAGTACGAGGACAGGGGTGAGGCAAAACGGGCTGCCTGGCGCGGCGAAACAAACCAGATCCCTTGGTGCCGAGGGCGGGGGAGCCTGAGGGGCGTCCTGGGACTTGAAGGGGCGGCAGGGCGGCTCGCTTCATGGCGTGCGGCGCGCGCCGGATGTTGGTGCCGCGCACCCGCTGGGGCTCACGCGGGCGGCACAGCGCCGCAGGGCACCCCTGCACCCGGCATCCAGGGGCGACACCACAGGATTGGAGGGGGGAAGGGGGGGTACACAAACCGCACATTGAGCGCCCATTGCTGCATCCTGCGATCCACGCTCCCCTCCCAATCATCATATCAGCCGCTCCTGCAGCCCTCTGATCAATCCTCCTGGCCGCTGTCAACCACTCCCAGCCGACGAGTACAACGGGCCGCCCCAAGATGCAGAACAGGCCCCCAACACCACCAGGTCGGCGCATCCCGCCGCCGGCAGCAGCGCTCGGCGCGGCCAGCAGCCCGCGTTCGGCCGCGGCGCCCGGCGCGCCGGGCCCGAGGGTGCCACGCGGCAGCAGCCGCCGGGCGCGGCCTTCCCCGACCGTGAGCGTGCGCCGACGCCCGCGGGCCGCGCCCGCCATCCCCAGGGAACCACCGCTACACCACGGCAGGCATCCCGCGGCTCGCTGCTTGCAATCCATCCACTTGAGCGCATGGCAGTGTCAACGCCATCATGGCCCATCACCCGAACGCTCCTCGTGTCGTATCCGTTCTCAATGCCTGCATCAGTCACGATCGCACGCGTGCACGTCATTCCAGTGGCGTCGCCCCAGGTGCGGCAGAGCGTAGCGGAGCTCGTTGCCCTGCTGCACATCGGAGGCGGCGGCGGCGGGGGCGCGGCCGCTCTCGCGGGGCAGCTGGAGGTGCGGGGCGTGCGGGCGTCGAAACAGGGAGACCGGGGGCCCCGCAAGCCGCGGCAAGAGCCCCGCGGCTCGGAGCTCCTTTAGTGCGGCCTGCGCGCTTGATGCTGGCCGTCCGGGCATGTCATGATTCTGAATTGCTTTGCAAGCGGTTGGCCCGCCCCGGACAGAAGCCGACCGGCGCGCGCGCGCTGCGACGACTCCGTCACAGGAGGCGGGGCGTGTGCTGCGCGACGGCGTCCTGCCGTGCGTGGGCGACGCGGCCGCGCGCGCGGCGCTCTGCGGTGGCGGCCTGCAGTGGCTGCCTCTCGGGTTCGAGACCGGCGGTGGGCACACAGGCGGCCACCTCCCCTGTGCTGTGGGCGCCCGCGTGTGCTTGCTCGCAAGCCCTCCCCTTCCCCAGCACGGGGAAATCGGAGGATTTGCTCACTATCCCATCAGCAATGGCGTCGCGGCCTTGGCGCCTGCTATTCCAGTGTGCGTGCATGTGACGAGCCCATGGCTCTCTCGAGCCACGCCGCACCCGCTTCTCACCCAAAACCCTGCCGCCCTGCCGCGACCCCCGCCGCTGCGGCCGCCGCTGCTGCCAGACGACGAGGTGGATGCTGCCGCGAAGCTGCTGCGCCTGCTGCACCTGAGGGACCTGCGGGAGCTCCAGGGGCTGGTGGACGAGGCCATAGTCAGCCTGCAGGCGCGTGACGGGGTGGGGGCTACAGGCTGCGCATGTGTGTGTGTGTACTGCATGTGTGTGTGAGCGTCTCTTTGTGTGTGTGTGTGTGTAAGTGTGTGTGTGTGTGACTCGTTGTGTGTGATGTGTGTACGTGGGCAAGAGCGGCAGAGAGACAGAAAGTGCTGGTTGGTTCAAGGGATCGAGCGCTGTGCATGGGAGGGTGGGCAAGCGATGAGCATGCGAGTGCAGTGCATGAGGATGGGTTTTGGGCTTTGGGGAAGTGGGGTGCGGGTCAGGGCAGTGGCGGGGCTTCTTGGGCGGCGGGTGGTAGGGGTTTCTGCTCCAGTTGTGCAGAGCTCGGGTGGGGTGGGGCTGGGCGTGAGGTGCATCAGTCCAACCGCGCGCCTGGGTGCCACACGCGTTGACCGCAGGAGCTGACTGCCGACCCCAGGACTGAGTCGGCGCTCGGGAGGGTGGGGCGCTGACAGCACAGCTGCGGAGTTGTTGAGCGTGAGAGCATGGGTCATCAAATCAGGTCGCAACTTGTCGGACGTGCGTTTCTGCTGATCGTGTGGAGTCGACGGGATGCCTGCGACAACGGCGCCGACGTGCCCGGTTGGCGAGGTTTTTGGCGGGCATGCCCTTCAGCAGGAGGCGGCTTCTCGTAGTCAGCTTGGGCTTGAGTGATTATGCAGGCAATACTTCGGCTTGCACTTGAACTTGCTTACCAGCAGGAACTCTCGCGTTGAGTGGGATAGGCGCTTACTACCCGTGTGAGGTGGATCTGAGCGGGCCTGTAGCCTCATACATTGTCACGCTCTTCTCAAGTAGAAATTGTGTTTGAAAACCCAGTCCTTTGACGCAGCAAAAAGCACAGGTGGTGTCGCAGTGGTGCACCCCCAGCGGGTTCCCAGGTGGCTGGCGACGAACTTGCTGTGATTGGAATTGATTTGACTACATCTCATCTCCACCGCGTACGTCCCGCGCGGCACACGGACCCCGACACCTGCGATTGCCTACTTGCCGAGACCTTGCCGCGAAAAGGGGCCGCGTCCAGCGGAGCAGTGCGTAATTGGACAATTGACCCCCGCAGTGCGGGCGTGCGGCGTCGCCAGGCGCGCACCCGCGCCGTGTTGCGTGCGCCCGCGGCTGCCGCCGCGTGCGGATGGGCTGCGCGTCGTCTAGGCCCACAATTGATGGGCCGCAGAGGCTGCAGGCAGGAAGCACAGGCGTAGCTCGCGAAGGATCTGCGGGCAGCGGCATAGACGGCGCGGAAGGGTCCAAGGTGCGGCGTCGTCAACGGGCCCCATGGCCCATGCACTGGTTGCCGTGGGGGATGAGGGGACCCACCCCAAGCCCGGGTCGTTGGGGTCAACCCCCGCCGCGGCGCATGCCCCTCCCCCTACCCC